CTAAAAAGTATTGGGGTGGTAGAAAGGGAGAAATAAGCGATTCTGTCAGCAGAAAGCTGGCTTTAATTTCAAGACCATCTTCTGATAATCTAATCTCATAATCTACTATGATTAGCCCTTTTTGCTTAAATCAAATATGGCATGATCTAATAAATATTTAAACGCATTGAATTGTAGCATAGATCTTCAGCTGATTTCCTTCTAAGAAGACAAAATGGTGTTTTAATGTGAGCAGCTATTTATTCAGATGAACAAACGGAAGATTTATGATAATATACTCAGTGTTATCTATTAGCACATCTTAATGAGCATCTTTTTTGGATGCAACTTTATCAGAATGCATTACACTTTGAATTACAGCAAAGTTCCCTCAATCTGAAGGCTTGGAGGAAAAGAAAGGAAAAAAATAATCCTTTGCATTTTTAGCTACCCACTATTTTTTTAATGAAATATAATTTAGGGTTGGATCTGGATTATACTCAGATTATTATGCACATCTACATATATTGTTACTTAAAAAGAATTATGCATAGCTATTGGTAAGTATGCATTTTAATAGGATTGGAATGGATCCAATCTTAGGAAAACCAATTTTTTGACTCATCTCTAAATTTTGATTCTACAAATGTATGTGGGAAAATATTTAGGAAAAAAAATGAAATGTCTTATAATTCAGGGCAACCAAAAACATATACCCTGTCCCACAAGAGGAACAGTGATTTCCATGATTGTAGCAGCAAAACAGAAACAAGCATTCTTTTGTGACCATGATTAACTTCGAAAAGTGGAGCCTGTAAGAAGGATAATCCCAGACAATCATATGTAACACATGCAGTTTTCTAACAATGATGAGTCGGTCAATAGACAGGGCCAAGCCACTTAGGAATTTTAAATAAGATCCAGTATACTCTGGAATTAAGTGAAGAAACAAACTGGAAACAAGAAAACGTCTCCCAAAATAGGAAAATTGGAAAATGAAAAGGTTACCCTAATTGTCTTCATACATGAAACTTCTCCTCCAAGGCCCTTCTCAGGTTCTTGTACCATGCAAGGTAGGGAAAGCTGTCAGTCAAAGAAAAGGCCTTTTCCAAGGAGGCATCTTGGTTTCAACTGCTAGCCCCAGCGTTGCTTCTAGGAATCTATCCTGCTGCCAATTTAGCATTTAGGGAAGGGACCTGACACGTTCTCAAACTCCTCTATTCAGTTTAAATCCTCAGCTGGGTTTGTTGCTTTTCTGGAGCTCCTCATGATTTATATTCTTTGGATTACTTATTTGGGTATTTTTAATTTATGCATCTGAAAATTTTCTTTGTTGTATTTTCAGAACTTGAACATCTCCCTGGGAATGTGAGCTATAAACTCCTCTAAATGAATGAATAGCAATCATCCATTTAAATAAGTTATCATGCCCCTGATTTCTAATGACTAAGCCTCACACAAGCATGTCATACATTTATTCTAAGGATACTTCTATTACAAATGTGCCACTAATATTTGTAATTTCTGTCACAATAGCCATTAATATCCCTCACTGGGCTGGTGCTCCATTTAGCTGTGTCTTGGCCTCCTGAACCCCAGAGGGACTGGTTTCTAAATGCCACTCTAGTGCTACAGGAGATGAGACCTCACCAGCTAGAGAGACAAAACAGATATATTCGTGCAGATGTTTCCATCCAGCTGAGCAACTGAGCACTAGGATCATGTGACAGATGCATGAATGTATCACATGAGAAGCCTGGCAGTTGGCAATCCTGAAGAGACAGCTCACTTCCCAAAATACTTTCAACTTGTTATAGCACATTTGCAACTATTAAAAGAGCTATAATCATAATGACAAAGACATTCATTTGAAATTGTGCCCTATCAAAGCTTTTACAAAACAAAAGCATTCTCGCTCTAAAATGAATTACATTGTCCTAAATCTTAAAACTTTACCTCAAAACGGAGTAGTGCTTTTGTCTATGTTCCAGCATCAAATTCAGAAAAATACCATTTCCTCATGAATTACAATTTTCTATAAAAGATAATCATATTAAAAAGGCACTCAGATAGATCATACCTGAATGAGATCTCCTTAAGAATTATTTTTAAATATTAAATGCATTATAGTGTAATCCTTCCTTAGATAAGCAAAAGCTTATTGGATTGGACCCAAACTGGAAAGGATGTTTTACTGAAAAATGAGATTCCAGCAAGGAAAGAAGTGGGGAGATGTTTGCTAATTCTGCCTTCTTCTTTCTGTAATTTACTGTATTACCTTTCATATTGTCACAGAGGTTCTTTGGCTAGGAATGTAAAATAATTTAATCACTGATTCTTTTGGAAGCAGATCTGAATATTTTGTTTTTCTGGATTTCTCAGAGTAACAAAACCTACCATTAAAATACTATCTTTCTCCAATCAAAATCGGCCAACTCAAGTTTTTTTTTAAAAAAGTATACTACTGAAAGTTACATATAAACAGTGGTCATTGTTTTTAGAAAAAATTACATTAAGAAAGCCAGTAATATGCAAACCTTCCCATAAAATAATAAAAAGATGATTTGCATGTTAGAAGTGGTATTCTAGCAAAGTAGTAATAACACATAGGGGAAGATGCTTATACAAAATGCTGGTAGGTGATATGATGTGTTATGATGATGTGGTCCTTCAGGTCTTCCAACAGTGCATCCATCTCCATTGTAATTGCGTCCACCTTGCTGCTGGTCATCCTCTTTTTCTACTTTCTTCCCAGTATTATAGACTTTTCAAAAGAGCTAGATCTTCACATAATTTGGCCAGAATGTGATAATTTGAGGCTGGTAATTTGTTCTATGATCCATTTTTTTATTTTCTTGGCTATCGTGGCATTCTCAGGAGTCTTCTCCAACACCAAAGTTCAAAAGGATCAATCCTCTTCTATCCTGCTTCTTCAAATCTTCTATCCTGCTTCTTCAAATTATATAGTTATAAATATTTGTATGCCTTTCCTTCCACGCTCCTTCTCCTTTCCCCTCTGTTTAGACTCTTTAATTGATTAATACCTTTTACATAGCCAAAGCAAAAGTTCTTGTTGCTGTTAATTTCTTTTGGGAAAGACAGTGAAATGGGCTGGAATGGATTGAAAGAAAAAAAAAACACTTTGGGAGGGTTTTCAAAGAGGATGTGAAATGGAAAACTTGGGATCAGTTGTTTAAAATGAATTATTCTAGCAATACAATTAATTAAATCAAAATTAAAAATAAGTTCTTTGCTTCTCACTTCAGAAATTTACTGTCCTGTTCTACATATGTTTACTTTGAATGAAAATCCACTGTGGCCGATGATTATTTTCAAGTGTGCATGCACTGAATCACAGACTAAGACTTGGAAGGTGGATAAGAATACAAGAGAGAGATGGCTTAAGGTGCTTACAAGAAGAATGGCAAACTTTCCATGGCAATGTGATCTTGTGTGGCACGATGAATTATCATTGGAACTAGCTGTTGCCTAATTTAGATACATCTCTGCTTACAATCATTTTCTGCTGGAGATGCAACTCAAAATATTTATCATGTGACTGGTTTTGTCCCATTATTGTCCTATTTTGGACAGATAGCAAGAGGGTTGTTAATCATCTTCCTGGCTATATCGCCAATATATAGACATCAAGAAACTGCACCTGGTTTTCAGCAACAGATTGTTGATATCTGTTGTTTTTCAACATTTTAATTAGTGGTGTTGTTCTGACAGAGACTTTCGAAGAATATGGGTTACATTTTTGGAAGTTGTTCTGTTTATAACACAGGTTTCCAAGCTTTTTCCCTTTTCTTTATTATCATGATTATTAATTCTGAAGTTATTTTATATTGTTAATCCCACTGTATATATCTATTATTTCTGTTAATTAGTTCAGCATAATAAAATTAAGTTGATAATAGAGGAAATTTCGGGGATGGTTTCTTTTAATCTATTATAAAACATGATGGACCAGAATATGATCCTTCTACTGCAGACAGTAAAAAGCCCTGGATTTATTGTTTCCTCTCAGCCCTACGTGCTATCCCTGAGAGCATCTTGTCACGAGATGTGGGAAGGCAGAATTTTAACTGCAGACAGTAAAAAGCCCTGGATTTATTGTTTCCTCTCAGCCCTACGTGCTATTCTTGAGAGCATCTTGTCACGAGATGTGGGAAGGCAGAATTTTAAAGACCGTCTTTCTGCCCTGTTTCTCCCAGCAGGAGTAGAACTCGACTCGGCTAAATCTGGATCTAACCCAACTGCTCCAGTGCCTAGCATTCATCCCAGTAAGAAAGGATACCTGGTTATATGTTTTCTGGTAAATACAATACATACTGTAAAGTACTTTGCAAATTACAAGAGCTATGTAAGTGATCAATAGCTGTAGTACAGCAGGGGCAGAAAATGTTCTTTGTCACATTTTCATTTAAGGCAGCACAGAGTGCCAAGAACTGCAATTGGAGCTGCCTGCCAAAATGAGCTGCCAGCGCCAGCAACAGCAGCAGCAGTTGGAGCCAGAAAGTTAACCCATTACCATCACGGCTGTATCTTCCTTTATGAGTTTTTGAGGGCACAAATGGCATTTAATTGGGCTTCTTTGACTTAATTCAGAGACAAAGGCTGGGAAGTAGACTTTTAGACAGCCATGCCCTACATCCAACTACATCCTGCAATGGCAGGTGAGTCTGATTTTGTCTCTCAAATAAGCTCGTGGAAAGCGATGATGCAGAACATACTTCTGAACTGCAGGGTGTCAGCAATTATTCTGCTATCCGAACATATTTTCAGCAGAGAATGAAGACTGATATCCAGGCCCTGTTTGAAATCTTACCCACAATACTGGAATATACTATAATCTGTGCCATATAAAAGTTGCATAATTTAAGATGAGAATGTGAAATATAATAACAGTCTATAAGCCACAGTGACCCAATAGATAGAACGGTTCCTCCCCTGCCCTAAATAAAGACCTGGATGGTGGGATTGTCATATTACATTCCTTGATAAAAATAGAAGCTGTTAAAAATGAAAAAATCAGCATGAGATGCAAATGGCTCCAGACTGATTCCTGCAAAGGGTGGGTGTGTTTAAAATTAGTCTGAAGGTTGACTACTGCTTGCCTCGTTAATTTAATCCTTTTCTGTTGTACCTAAACAGGGCATTGTCACTTTTCTTTCTTCCCTGGCCAGGTATCTCCTAGTCTTATGTCCAGCCAGTTTTACCCCCACTTGTCTTTCCTCCCCTTTCCTTTCCTTCCCCTCCCTAGTGTAACTACCCTTTCCTCTTACCCTTCTCCTTTCTGTTATTTCTCCTTCCTTTTTAACATTTTCTGCTGGGAGAAAAGAGAGGGATATATGTACTGTATGTATACTTGCATGTTTCTACATGTGAGAATGATTTGTATGGGAGAGAGAGAATAGTTGGGGTATGGAAATATAGGGTCAATTACTTTTGCAAATGGATTTCCTACTTTTACAGACAAGTAATTTTAATTTATTTTAATTCAATTACATTTTGTTTTGCCCTGGTTCTCCCCTTCCCTTTTTTGGGGGGGGGGGGGAATATAGGTTCTGGCAAATACATATATGCAAATGTCCAAACATGCCACATGGACATACTTATTTGGGAGATTGGGGGGTAGGAATCTCCAGGATGATTTAACAAGGAATTGGCAATCCTAAATAGATGAGGAAATAAAACTGGCCAATGAGTAGGATTTTTATTTTAAATTCAGGGACAATTTGCTTTCAGGTTAACATTATAATACTGATGGTAAATGAAATCTACTGGATGACAGTAAGTGTCAAAACTAGTAATTCTATAATAGCACTCATGCTCCAAAAATCTTGAAGCATCCTTAATTGTTCAAAGACACTGTAGAACCCTGTTTATGCATAAAGTTCCAATTCTTCATAAACTTCTTTTGTCAAGGCAACTCTAAGTGATGGTAGCAACAGCTACAGCCAATCTAGTAATAACAAGAACATATAATAACATAAATATATAATGACAATAAAAATGTTTTTGTTGTTGTTATGGTATTAGGAGTGGTGCAGCACTCAAGTCCCAACAGCCAGGTTTTTATGGGTCAGGAAGGCCAGGACAAAGGAAGTTGTTTGTAATGTATGCTGCTTATACTGGGAAGGGTGTTCATTTGCAGTACTGTGCAAAAGTTTTAGGCAGGCGTGAAAAAATGCTGTAAAGTAAGAATTCTTTCAAAAATATATATTGTAATTGTTTGTGTTTATCAATTTACAAAATGCAAAGTGAGCAAACAGAAGAGAAATCCAAATCAAATCA